ACACTCGCTAACCCTAGTCAAAAGAAGGCTGCAAAGGGAATAATCAAAGTATCGGTTACAGACACATTCACAGGACAGCGTGTGTGTTCACACATGCGTGCCTGTCATGACAGCCACGACCCCAGATGCCGCAGGAGTTGAGAAATGACAAGCACAAGATGTACCACAATGGTACTCCTGAGCCACGTCCCCTCAGGAGGCCACTATGACTTTCTCAAGGCTGTTCCTCCTCAGGGAAGCTCAAAGAAAGCTGCTCCCTCCGCCATCACTAGGGGGCCAGGACACAAGCCCCCTGCAGTATTCAGTCAGTCAGTCAGTCAGGGGCAAAAGCTAGCATTTGCCACAGTGCAGGGAGTGGGCTGGGAGCCACATACACTGGGCCACCTCAGGCCCTGGGGATTCACACAGCAGAGGAGAGACCTATTTGCCCCCAGCTGAGGTGACAATGAGCCTGGGACATATTGTGCAGAGCTCTGACACTTGGGCTGCGTTCTCCAAGCAAGAGGGAGCCACAGAAAGGTTTGGAGGAAGCAGGTAATACGGATACAGCTACCTGGACAAAATGCCTGGGACAGAGGCCAAGACTACTCAGGGGGTGCAGCCAGACTCTGGAGGGGGAGCCAGCAAGGGGCGGAGCTGGAGGGTGCAAAGGAACAGGCACGAGAGACAGCACAGACAAAATCCACTGGGTGAGGACAGCAGAAGCTGCCGCAAATATTCTGAATCAGTTCGGGATATTGAGGCCACCATGAAAAGACACTCTCAAAAAAAAAAAAAAGACACTCTCAAGGAGGGACTTCTGAAAGTGGCAAAGATGATGCAACAAAATGTATTCAAAGCCAAAGGAATATTTTTAAGGGAATTAATGGCAAGGTGTCTTTTAATATATCAATTTTTTATTTTTATTTAAACCCTTGCTATAATTTTGATCACACCTCCTGGCAGGATGAATATACCCAAGGTACAACCAGAGACTTGAACCCAGAGGGGCAACAGATCTAGAATCCAGGAGCAAGGCCACTTCTGAAGATCAGAGCCTCCCTCTGCTACAGAGGACCACCTGGGTGGGCTATGCACAAGCTCCTCACCTCTGGGGAGAGGCTGCGGCTCAGGACGGCTGAAACGACATCCAGGGCAGCGGCTCCTGGTCCCTGGGGTCTCCTATGAGCCACACAGTCGGCCCTCTGTGTCCAAAGGTATACCTAACCTAGAGCTCAACTATTTTCTTTTTTTTTTTTTTTTTTTTTTTTTTTTTTTTAATTTTATTTGGGTGTGTGTGTGTGTGTGTGTGTGTGTGTGTGTGTGTGTGTGTCCAGCTCAGCCCACCAGGGGGCGGGGCTGGCTGGCATGTGGTGCTGGGGGATTGAACCGCGGTCTCTGTGCTTTGCTGAGCTTGTTCTACGTAGGTGCTTTAGACCACTGAGCCATCTCTCCAGCCCAGAGCTCAACTATTTTCATAAAACCTTGTTTCTTTACTGAACATGCTCCGGCTTTTTCTTGTCACTACACAGCACACCAACACTTCACATCGCCTTGGGACGGCAGGTGATTTGAGATTATTCTAAGTATAAGGGAAGACAGACATCTACCATAAGAGACTTGAGCATCTTCAAATGCTGGTATCCTGGTGCGAGAGGGGAAGTCTGAGGCCCCGGTTCCACTGGAACAAGAACGATTCATTCTTTTCCATATTCTTCATCTGATCACAGATCTAACACAGTTGCTCTTGAAACTTGCTCTACACTTGAGCTAAGTACCATCTCACTCAAGGACCAAACACATATGTTCCCTCAGCTATATTCTAAAAGAGCTGGCAAGACTCCGGCTTGGACCACCAAAGAGAAACAAAAGGAGAAAGAAAGCCACAGTGGGTCCATTCTCCAGTTTTCCGTACCCACCAAGCACCTACAACAGCTCTGCCAAAGCTGTGACCAAGCACCAGGTTCGGCCAGATTCCTGGGTCCACCTGGCACCCTCCTCTATGTCAGTGGGTTACAAAACATTTATGACACCTCCCAGCGACACCAGGACCCTGCACATGCTGAAGGACTCATGGTCTCAATGAATGCCTAGGTGAGGCCAGCAGTCACTGGCATCTCTTTCCTCCAGCTCAATAGGGAAGGACAGCACCAGACCCTCCACCCAAGAAAGAGACAGTGACCACCACAGTCCAGCTTGATAACAACCTGCCCCCTACTGCAGCGGAGGCACCAGGAGGACGATGGCAGGGCCAGAGGTGTTAGGGTTGGGACTGCAGGTGTGTCCTACAACTGTCGCCTCCCTAGGCATACAGGGCAAGTATCAGTAGGCACTTACTTCTGACCTCAGGCTTCCATCTAGAAGAAGGGAAGTCACTGCTGCCTGCTTCCTGGGGGCTCTGAGACCCTGAAGCCCATCCCTAACATGCCATGACCCCTGGGCCAGCCTGGATGGCACCTGCAGGCTTCATGCGGAGTCTGCTTACCCACCCCACATGGAAGGGGCAAGGCACGTCCCCTGCCCCTGCACTGGGTCCCTCACAATGCCCCATTGTGCGGCATTTGGAGACAGGCTCTGGCCAGTGGCAATACTATTTTTTGCCACTCATGTGTCATCTTTTTCCAACTGTACTTTGCTCCACAGGCAGCGCCATGACAAACAGAAATGGAGCCCATGGCCTGTGACAGGAGCGGAGCCCGAGCCTCAGGAAAGCCAGAGCCAACAAGGGAACAGTTGAGGACCCATCTGCTGGTGCAGGTGACACACCCTGGACAGCCAGAAAAATGACAAGGAAGAGAACACAAGGTCTTCGCTCCAATTTACTTCAAGGGCTTATTTCAGCAGCTGCATACTGAATTTGAATCTGTTCAAAACATCCTAAGCATTCCTCCCTGACTTTAATATGCATTAAAAAAAAAAATCCTAGTTGCATCACAGGCAGGTCATATGGAAGTTGCATTAAATTCCTCCCCTCTGCGAGGCCTCCTGGCTTATACTGCCCCACCACTCACTCCCTCCAAGCAAAGTAGAAGGTACTGTACACATGCAGCAAAGAGAAAAAAAGTCTTGATTTTCTTCACCATCAGTTACTGCTCCTGCCCCCGGGAAAGGCTGGTTACTTGCGAGCCACGTTAGTGACTGTCAGTGTGAGGCAGGGCAAGGCTGAGCCACGCCGTCACCCAGCTCGCTTCCGCTCTTCAGCTTGCTCACTCACCCCTCCTCCTCAGGCTGGCGACTGCATCATAGAGCCACACCCAAAGCCATCCCATTCTACCAGAGCAGGCAGTACGGTGAGAGACACGGGCAGGAGCCCCAGGGAGCAGGGACAGGGGCCTCCTGAGGGACAGGGCCCTTTGGCACCTGCCAGCGCTGGATGAAGAAACAAAATCTCTCACTGCCCTTGGTACATCGCTAATGGGGAACTGGGTAAGCATTCCTGGTGGGGATGAGCTGCTGAGGCCCACAGAAGGGAGGTGACCTGCTCAGCGTCACACAGCAAATGGCTTCTTCCCCAACAGCTCCCACTGGGCGATTTCCCCCAAAAGAGATGTCGCCAACCCTTTCCTCTGAACTACCACTTATGGCTTGTTGACCTCGTGACCAGAGCCACTTCTGAACTCAGAAGTGAGGCCTTGCAGCTCGATGCAGGATCCATGCCTCTTCTGGCTCCTAATACCTTAGCCACTCACCCGGAACACCAGCGAGGGGGAAGTGGGGGCCATGGCCCCAGGCCTGAGGTGTGCATGCAGGCCCCCCCCTGAGATGAGCACCCATGAGGACCAAGGCCCACAGCAGGACAGAAGCAGGGGAGTTCAGGTGGGAGGTGGTCAGAGAGAAGCCAAATCCAGACAGGAAGCTATCTGCACGTGTCAGACACTGAAGACTGGAACAAGAATTGCGTGGGTGATTTCATATGTAAGAGAGCTCAGACTGGGATAGCAAGCAATGCTCCTCCAGCCCAGAGAAAGCAAGAAAGATGCTTCAGATACCTGCTGGGTCCCTGCCTGGGTCCTGAAGCCCCAGGCTTAAAGACCATCGCTGGAACATACCCAGGAGGACAGGCTTCTCAAAGGAAGCAGCCAAGATCCTTCGATCAGTCTGACCCTCTTTTGAACCCAATTGTTAGCTCTTCCCACATGGCAGATGGTACATTAACGTCCACTCTTGGATAAAATCTATTTTCTAAAACATGTATCAGGAGGCCCACTGGGCAGTGTGCCCACCTCCTCAAATCCAAAAAAGCATTTGCAAAAAGGCGATGAGCATTCCCAATAAGCTCTTACCACGGGCACCACATCCAGAGGGTGCCCCTTAGACTGACTGCACCAAAAGCATCTCATGGAGCAACCTAGGAAGAGCACCCAGCTGTGGGAACCACCAGGCTTCTTACCTAAAGCACAGATGCCAGCGCATCCTTCTCTAAGCACAGGTGCGCAAGTTTACATCCCAGGCAGGCTGCAAAACATTCCTATCGCTGGACTGGAAGGCCGTGGGTCAAGGTTTCTTTTGCTACACCCGTGCCGCGTTCACCCTGAGAAGCATGCTTAGGATTTTTCCAGTACTAAAGGTTGAACTCAGGGCTTTGCACATGCTAGGCAAGCACTCCAGCACTGAGCTTCAACACAAGCCCAGGAATTACGTTTCAACATACCAAAGTCAATCATTTAGGAGCAAAACATCAAAATTAATGTTTTGAAGCTGACTCCAAATGCTGTGTTTTTACAACTAAATCACATTTGGGAGTCATGACAGACCAAGCTCCAAGTAGAGAAAACAAGAAGCCATTCTTCTTAGCCTAAAGATTCCCTAGAACCGGACTCGCATGTTCAGCTGCAGAACTCAGAGTTTGACGGGAAACAAGGACAAGGACATCAGACCAATTATTAACCCAGCCAGGCCCCCATTTAATAGGTCAGGCCACTGCCAAGGCCACTGCCAAGGCATAGACCTTTGGAATAAAGCATCAGCACCCACAGATTCATTTCCCCACACAACAATGAGGACGCTCGACAGCTGCTTACTGATCATGGTGGTCCCCCCGGCCAGGGCTGCCTTGGTCCCCTGGAAGAAGTCATCAGCAGATGTCATCCCCTGGTCCGGCATCTGGAACCGAGTGTGGACATCAATTCCTCCGGGGATCACCATTCTGGAATGGGCCTCGATGGTCTTCACCCCTCCCGGCACAATGAGGTTTTCTCCGATTTGCCTAAGCAGAGTTAGCGAAAAGGGCAGCCCGTCATCGAAGTGTGGAGTTAAAGAGGATCGGACAGTTAACCTCACTCCCTACCCTCCACTAAGCCATGGACTTCTCTAATTATTGTAACTCCTCACGGAAGCATTCCCCACTCCTTGTCCTCAAATGAAGAGGGGATGCTGAGCAAAAGTGATTGCACAGGGCCTGAGTGGCCCCATTCAGGGGCTGATACCCAGGCCCAGGGCTACTTAGATAAAAGGTCACTCAACCTCAATGCTCCTAACACAGCATTCAGCTCACCAGCCTGCACCAACAGGCTGCAGATCTGGCTGAGCTTTCTAAGCATTCGATTTCACCATATCCTTTCCACTGGAGAGAACACTAGAAAGGGTGGAGGTAAAAGTGGAAGTGGAACAAAACAAGGTGCAGGAAAAAAGCGAACATGATCATTTGAACAATTGGAAAACGTGGAAGCAGATGCCCATGATTGAGACTGTAAAAGCAGAAAAACAAATATTCATCACATTGGGGGACATGATTCACCTCTCAGCTTTTGGAAGTGTTTTTTTACTACATCTTTATAGCAATTTTCCAAAAAGAAAATTAATTGGCGAGGAACTGGTAAAAGCTCCAATGGAAATGAATGACCACTGAAGACAGCAGGAGTCTGCACCTCCACCCCACCCCCCCACCATCCCACTGCCCCCCATGGCCAGATTGGATCACACTGTCTCACGACTGGGGACAGAAATGGAATAAGAAAGTCACGGCACTGGAGAGTCCAGTTTGCCGTGTTCCCAGCAAACACACACGGAGAACACATTAAATGTAGAAATGTTAAAACCTATTTTAGGCTCATAAATCAGGGTGCGAGCTTCCAGGCAAGAGCCATGGCCCCTCCAGTTTTCCACTCCTCCCCAGCAGTCTGCTATTAGCAGCTGATGAATGCTGCTTATTTAAAAGATGTCACTGGCTGCAGTGTTTGCCTTAAGCAGATGTGCTGTCTCTGCAGAGCCTTCGAGCTGTCCCAGGAAGGACAGCATGGGGACATTGGTATGCACTTAGCTCTTTTCACACCCAGCAGGCTCCAAACTTACCCAAACTCATAACAGCCCTGTTGTTCCTCCTCCGTAATATAATACACAATAAACACAGGGACAGCCTTATTTGTAATGGTTGCCACTTGAAGAATGAAACCTAAAAATGCCCCCAGGACTAGGCTGTAATTTGTCTGTATTACTTGGCAATTAACTTGTACTTCTGTGGTTCCTCCTGCTTGGACTTAATCAGGCCCCTTCTGATTAAGAAAGCAGATGAGCTGTCCTGACACAAGAGGCTGTGTTCGTGTCCCCTAGGCAATCCATCCCAAACAACCGCCTTCTAGAACAACCTTTAACATATTCAACATATCACAAACCAAGTATTTGGGCTGGCAACAAGAAGATATTGTGTCACCTCTGCTAAAAATAGTAAATTACATAATACAACATGCAATGCAAAGGCACGAATTGTGACTGCTAAGTCCTGAATCTGAATTCTCAAATTCATTCATTGCCACCAATCATAATGGGCTTAAAATAGCATCTGAATTGGTCACTCCTGGAGTCAGGCAAGTAGTTAAGAGGGTTCAGAAGCACTGGGAGTCAGACCTGGACATAACAGGGAGTCACACTCACTTGATCAGCCCATCCTCCATGTATATGTCTGCATAAAACGACTGGTCATCGTTAACGATTTTACCACCTTTGATCAGAAGACGATCACTCTGAAACAAAGAGGCAGGAAGGTTACAATGCATACCTGATCTATGAGAAATGCAGTACTAAGAAAACGGAGCTGAGAGCACATTACTACTATCCTTCAGTGGCAGTCCCAAGGAGCCGATTTGGGGAAGGTTTGGTAATACAAGTGAACCTGGATGTAGCAATCTATTCGTCATCCTGAACCTGTGAACCGCCTCTTTCTATTAGACTATAAATCTAAAAACAAAATAAGGGTTCCCTGAAAACACTTCAGATAAAGACAACACTTTTTAAATGACTTTTGGCTAAACTTCATTTTTGAAAAAACACATGTAGTAAGGTCACGGCTTGGCAAGGTTTATGTGCGGAAAAACTGACCAAAAGCCTGTTGTCATGGACTCTGCTAGACAAACACACTTAGTTCCACTGTAATGAGGTTCCAATGCCATATGTCCCTTTATATTTGCATTTATCTTTAGGGTAAATCATAGCAAGTGTATCAGGCTGAGAAGAACTAGGAAAAAAAAAAAAAAAACATTTTCAAGTAACCAATTAAGAAATAGGTAAAGTTTTATAAAGAAGTAGATGAGATGATAAAATTAAAATCTAACACTACTCTGATGGACTTAACTGATGATATTCGTGCAAAACAAAAAAGGACAAAAATTGCAGTTTAGGGCCAAGAATGAAAAAGAAACGCTACATGATGGCTTGCAGCTATCCCAGATCCAATGTTCTTGATGAAATGGGAGGGGGCTGGGGAGATGGCTCAGGATCACGGCATGCTCAATACATGCACCTGTACTATTTCAAACTGGATTTATGCTTTAGAGGCTGAGCCATGAACGCCCTTTAAATATGCACATTTCAAAGGAGACCATTCATCTAGACAGGGGTAACCCCAAAATTCAGTGAAAGTATTCTCAGCAAGTGCTGTTTATGTTTAATGGAAAGCTAGAAACCTTTAAAAAAACATCTAAGCTACCAGAGAGCAAGGGGGTTGAAACTCATTTGCACACAAGTACACACAGCTAAGCTCAGGAAATTATTGTCTTTTCCCATACTGTGAAAACAGAGTTGATTTTTATGTTGTGCACTACAGTTTTTCCTGTTGATGCTGACACTGGTGGGTCAAATGGAAGTAGTCTTCGATCCTTGCCCCCATCTGTGGTAAATGTAAAGACCTTCACAAAATCTTGTCGGGTGCCTCACGCCATAGCAGGGTCAGGATGCTCTTATTTCGTGTGGGAACCAAGGCTGAGAGAGAGTAAGCCTACAACAGTACTCCCACGCCCCTTCTCAGATGTGGAGCTTCAATAACAGGGGAGATCAGAAGAAGCCCTCCCCTGTAACGTTTGCCCCTTAGTCTCTTCCCTAGGGAGAATCCCCAAGGCACCATCATGCCCAGGAAAAAGCTAGCATCACACAGTCCGGCTCAGTCCAGTGACTTCTAGAAGGTCTCTTACATAAGAGGCTGGCGGGGGAGGGGGGGGGGTCATGTATAGGTCCTAGGATAACGCAAACATCTTTTTTTTGGGGGGGGGCGTTACCTTAAAACCCGATCTTGTTGATTGTTTGCCTAATTTTTTCCCCTTTCCCATCCAGTCAAAACAACACTGCCCTGTTCATTCAAGAAGACAGCAAATTATCTTTGCTTGCGGGAAATCTGCTTCTCATCCCCAACCCTCAGACTCCTTCCTCCAGCGCAGGGAGCTCAGAACCCTGAGTCCCCCGCGCCCAGCCCTTTGGGATATGGAGTCTTTGCCATCCAGAAAAAAACAGTACCCACCCTTGATGTAGAACAACCCTGCTCATCCCAGAAAACCCAAGCACACGCCCCTCCCTCTGCATAAGTCCCCACAGCTCCCCTGCGGAAGGGTGTGTCCCCGTGCGCAGGGAGGACCAGGGCCAAAGACACAGCCCAGACAAGCGAGCGTGCCCTCAAATCCAGCCGTAAAATACATCTATCTTGACTCTTTCGGGAGCGCTTTCGCGTCCTGCGTCGGCCATGGGTTCCACCCTGAAATCAGCTGGCCAGCGGCGACGGCACAGCGTTATATAACAATGAATTCCCCGCCATTCCTCCCTCCCTGGAATTTCATTAGGGGATGGACAGAACAGGACCTGCGCGGGTTTTCCAGTAAAAGACGAAGAGGATGGGGAGGCATAACGGGTGCCTGCTCTGAGGCATCGTGAATTCACGGCACGGTCGTCTCCCTGTGGCGTAGATGCTAACAATGCCAGGCCCCAGAACGGGGGCGAAACCTCCGGCCCTGCGATCATTGTCTGACGGGGGCCGGCGGAGCCATCTGCTGCGTCCTCAGCTCCAGAGTCGGGCTCGCCGTGGTCCCCGGCGCCAACCGCCCAGCCGCTTTGTATGCGCCAACGCGGACGCCTTCCCAGTGGTGGAAGGGGCCGAAAAGACGCCGAAAACGAGCCCAGATCCCTCCCAGGGTTCAGCCCCAAACCAAGCGGCTAGAACACCCAGAGGGGGCACCAAAAACCTGTCCTCGGTTGACAAAAAAGCCCCGGCCCTCTGCACATCCCCGCGCCTCCGCTCCCTTCCCAGGGCGCATCATCCTGGTGCACCCAGCCCTTCTCGGCATTCGTGCTGTCACCACGCCTGCGGGCTGTACCCGCTCCGTCTCCGAAGGAGTCTGGAAAAGCTCCAGAAAGCCCCGGACGACAGCGGCGGAAGGCGCGCAGAGGAGCTCTCCCCAGCTCCCCATCGCGGCCGCCGCAGCCCGGCCTCGCCTCCTGGCCCTGCGTGTGCAATGTGGCCTCCATTTGCTCGCGCCCCGCAGGCCGGCACTGCAGCATCGCGCGCGACAATAAAGGATGCAGCGGATCTGGCGCGCTCCCCAAGGCCACTCCGCGCACCCGCGCTCCTATTTTAATGACTTGCAAATTACACGCCTTATAATTCTTTATGATTGCACCCCCTCCACCATCATACCACCATCGCCTCCGTTCGCAACAGAAAAAAAAAAAAAGTTGGTACCACTCCCTCCCCCGCTAAAAATTCCATAGATGTTCAGTGCCACAAAAGCCGAACGCAGATTCCCCAAGTACAAACTCACCGTGATGCGTGGAATGTTTTTCTTCCCCTGATAAGACATCTCTCTCCAGGGAGAAAATTAATTTCAGGACAGCTTTAAGGGGAAAAAAAAAAAAAAAAAAAAAAAAAAAAAAAAGGCCGGGAAGGAGACTTGGTTGGGGTTTTTTGTTGTTGTTTTGGTTTGGTTGTGGTTTTCTGGCAGGATTGAAAAAGGTACAATAGCTTCGCTGGTCTTGCTAGTAGCAGACTTCAGGAATGTAAAGGATAAAGGCAATCTTCTGTCTCTCTTCCTCTCTTCCAAACGCAGCCCCGGCTAGGGCGGAAAAAAAAGGGAAAGAGACAGAGGAAGAGCGAACAGGAGGGAAGGGGGTGGAAATAAACTACAGCAATAAAAGCCTCGGTTCAAGTCGGCCACCGCGGCGCATGCGCGCCAGCCACTCCCTTTCCTCCCAGGCAAAAGCCATCCGCTTCGAGAGAGCTGCGCCCTGATTGGCCACCATCGTGGGATATGCAAAGGAGGCCAGCGGGGCGGGGCGCGGTGACGGGCGCGACAGGCTGCAGTGTGCGGCCCGGGGCCGCGGTCGGTGCGTGCGCCCGAGCCGGGTGCGCGCCTTTCGCGCCCTTTCTTTGAGCCTGGGCGGCGGGGATCCAGGCTGGCAGCGGCCCCACAGGCTTCATCAGCAACGCTGGGACAATGGACCGGTGGTCGTTCGGACGGGGGGGAGGGGGCTCAACCTCGAGACGGAGGGGCTTCGGGGCAGCCCGCACGCGCACGCCCGCCGCGCGCCAATCCGCGGAGGCTGCCGCTGCGCCCCGCGTGGGGTGACTGCGCCGAGCCAATGGCTTCGCTAGCGGCGAGCGCGCGACTGCGCCTCGGCCTCCGCCCTGCACCGCCGGGGGCGGGGACGCGCCAGCCCCGGGCCGAAGCGTGCAGCCTGCAGCGGGAAGCGGGTCCAGAGCGGCAGGGCATCCGCGGGCCCCGCCTCAGCCGCCCTTTGTGCCCGCAACACACGAGGACAGGATGGGGGAGAGCGTGCTGCAGAGGCCCGAAGTCCCCAGTCTTGGGTCCTGCCCCGCCTCTCTGGTAGTCACGCCCACTCCGACACACACACACACACACACACACACACACACACACACCCGGGTGGGCGAGCTGGGCGAGGGGGAGAGCGTGCTGCTGCTGCAGCAGAGCCACCATGGGACCACATCGCAGGGTTAACGAAAAGCGAGGAGAGGCGCTGCGAAGAAACTAAAGCAACAAAAAAAGAGCTAATACCGCAAAAGAAGGAGAAATTGAGTCTTCGAGAAACGTTCAGACCCAGTTAAAACCACGAACCCCCACCCCACCCCATAATCTGTAGTCACCCTTAAACAGCATTCAAGTCCTCTCTGGGTAGCCCTAGGAAGTGACCTCTAAACTTGCCGGTCAACTATATTTTTGATGTCCTTCACATCCACGGGGAAGAGAACTGGTCCAGTGGATCCCCAGCGGGCCACCCCTTAGGAAATTCCCCACAGGTACGAAGACTAAAACCTCCGGACCCGCCTGGCTTCAAGCCTTCTTCGCTTGAGATCAAACAATGCAGACGATGGGGTGGGGTTAGTTTAATTGGCTCACACCTGCTTAGTAAAGATTAGCCAGATAAATAGAGTACCCTGGGACCCGTGGGCCCAGTCTTGGGGATTGCGCTTGACTTCTCTGGCCACTAGGGGAAATGTGACATTCACCCTAAAATTCCCACAGCAAGCTTCACCTCTTCCCATCCATGCCACTTGGACTGGCTGCGCCTCTGGAAAAGGAAAAAGGAACACGTCCTCTCCACCTGCTTGGGGAAGTAGGCTGATGTCCCCAAGTATTCAGTACCAGCCACCACTGGTTAAAGAGGACATGGGGAAGAAGGCCCTATGAAATCGCAAGAAAAAGAACGACTTGGCAAGTCAAATTAATTCAAAACAGAATGGTCCCTAATCCCATTGTTTGCTTACATTCTGGTTATTCTCCCTTGATCCTGATTTGTTCGATCTTAATAGATTTACATGTATCTTGTTATTTGCCAATTTACGATGGAATATTTTGTTTGGTGATAAAAGCTCCCAAGAGCTTCTGATAGCGGTCTTTTGTCAGTTTTATCTTTAAAGCCATTGATAGATGCTTTCCTAGTTGAGAATTGATGACTCTCCCTATAAATATCCAGAAAAACAAGGTTTAAATTGATTTGTCTGCTCTGTCTAGAGCCTGAGAATACTTGGCACACAGAAGGTACAAATAGTTTTAATTGACCAAGGAAAATAGCTGCATTCTGCACATCATACTGTATGGGCAGATCAGTACAAAGCAGAAAAATAAAAAGGCGTGGGAAAGAATTGTCCACTCCCTTAACACTGATAGATCTGTGAATATAAATTATGTCTTTTTAACCCCCCCCCCAAAAAAAAGCACTCAGAATTTCCTGTGAAGTGACATCATCTGGGAACCTGATATTCAAACCCATTCTCAAGCATGACCTTTCTGAGAGCTGAAATCTGTGCCAAGCTGGGAACAGCAATGCAGACTATTTCACATTCACGGCCCCTTTCCAAGCCCCTGTCACCCCCACACAGCATAGGAGAGAGGGGGAAGTGCTAGCTGAGTGAGGGGTCCTAGCAAGGGCAACAGGGCTCTGGGTGCCCCCGGTGCTGCTGTAACCAGGAGCCTCCTCAGTCTGACCTGGCTCTCCTCCCTGGATGCCACCCTATCCACATCCTCAGTGGAGCCTGAAGTCTTCTACGCTCAGGGCAAAGCTCACTGCCTATAAAATGTGCCTTCTAAGTCTTTGCCCTTCTCTCCCTCCCTTTCTCGGGTCACTTCCTCTGGAGCCAGGCTTACCTGCCATCTTCCCAGGAAGTCTGCCCTCTGATGGGCTTGCTTGTCCCCCTCTACATGATGCACCTCCCGTTATGCTTGTTTGTCCTATTCTTTGTTCAGATCAAGAGTCCTGCTCAGGCGCATCTCGCTCACTGCCCCGGCCCACATGCAGCCCCCAAGCACCAGTGCTAGTGCCACCTTCCACATGATTATGTCCTTTCTAATGGTAGTTTTCATGACTCAGTGCTCAGGCATGAGCTGCAGAGGTGTCGTGGCCCGTGTCCGTAATCCCAGAGCCTGGGAGGTAGAGGTGCCCCTGTTCTTTCTCCTCTCTATCCTTATAAATCAGTAGGACTAGCTTGGGGTTTAAAATTGGCTGGATCCCTAGATAGATGGAGAAATGGTAACACCCAACTGGGATTCCTTTCCCATTTGGGATGGAATGACCCTCCTGCCTCAGTCTCCCAAGTACTGGGATCACAGATGTGTGCCATACTAGCATTTTAACTCAGGACCTTTATACTGGGCTACACACACAGCACTTTTTTTTGAGACAGGATGTAAATTGACCCAACTAGACTCAAACTTGTGATCATCCTCTCCCAGCCTCCTTGAGTGCTGGGAACAGGTATGGGCACTGCGCCCAGCCCAAGTCAGGATTTGTAAGATGTTTGTATTATACAGGGTGAGGAGCTACAGACCAAACCCTGGCGCCTTGTGGAGTCGGGCTGCTTTCGGTTCCTTAGCCTCTGCCTGGGCAGGCTGGCTCAGCCCATCTTAGGCCTAGTTTCATCTTCCCCTTCGGGAAGCTGGAGTGACCATTTCTGCTTCTGAGCAGCCCCAAGCTGGGTGGGGCGTGACACTGAACACCCTAGAGCGGTCGGCTCCTGACCATAAAATGCTGACAGGAAGGACAGAACCAGCAAGGCTAAGGAGAGAAAGCCGCAGACGCCAGGGCTGCAGTCGGCCACCAAGGGCCAAGGCTCTGCCGCAGCGTGCGAGAAGGTGCAGTGGCAGAAGGTGCTCATCTTCGCCAGAGCCCAAGGACACGGACTAGGACTCCTCTCACTGCGGACGGCATCAACTGTCACAACTGCAGCTCCTGCGTGTGGCCCTGCAGGGCACGCAGCGCAGAGGAACAGCAGGGCTGGCAACCGCTCCTGCTGGCTGCCTGCTCCTGTGGGCCCTTCCTTTCCTAGGTGGCAGCCAGGGAGCAGGGGCAGGGCAGACCTCTGGCCCAGGGCCGCTTGGCTGGAGTTGAACAGACTGTGGACCACCTCTGCTGGGATTCGGAAAGGGTCCTGCGGACCGACGTCCTCCTCCACCGGGCCCGGAGACTCATGCATACCAATCTGCCGGGCACCTGGGCATGGCACACACACCTTGCTGCCCATCTTACAGATTTTCCAATCTTACAGATTCTCCTCTGGAGACCCGGGCACCCGGTCAGGCCTCCTACCTCAGTCCGCCCCCTGGTGGTCAATAAGGAAAGTACATGGGGTCTGCCCTGGTCCTGGAGTCCTAGATTCCGTGGGGCCAAGACAGAGTGAGGGTCCCAGGGCCTTAGGCCTCCTGTCTGTCCACCCTAATGGTGTGGCCCTGAGCAGCCCCCTCCCTGGTCTCCAGTGGGCAGGCCGGGAATCGCTGCTTGGCCCTGAGCCCCAGCCCCAGCCCACCCCACCCCACCCTTCCCTCCAGAGGAGGAAGCTGCGGAAAATGTGAACTAAGCCCAACGTGGCCTGTTCTTTCCCGGGTGGGAACATTGTACAAAAGAAGACAAATGTTACACTGTCACTCAGTCTGCCGGCCTCGGGGGACAGCCCTGCCTGGTGAAACACTGCTCTGGAGCAGAGAGGAGGGATCCGGCTTCTGTGAGCGGGGCTGCGCTCCGGTTTAGCCCCGGGTCCCTGGCTGGGGGTGCCACTTGGTGACACCACTTCCTGGCATGCGTGAAGCCCTGGTTGGATCCTCAAGACTGCCAGAAGTTAAATAAATAAAAAATAGACACATGGTCCTTAATCTTCCCCCAAATTCTTGCTGGGTAAGTCTTCACGACCTTATTTCAAAGGACAAAATAAACCAAGTAGAAAGTAAAACACAAACCTAGGCCCAGCTTCTCACAGGAGTGGGAAAAGGACTGCAGTCCCAGCAACTCCCAATGTGCGCAGGTTTTGTGGAAACGAGGATCTGTCTTCCTGCCCCTGCAAGCCCTGCTGCTCTATAATCATCCCTCAGATGGGGAGGCGGGGGTGCCCACCTGGAGTCCCAGCACTTTGGGAGGCTGAGGCAGGAGGACCCAACATTTTAGCCCAGTCTGGGCAACTAAGCAACCTAACAAGACCCTATCTGAAAAATTTCAAGGGTTGGCAATGTAACTCAGTGTGGAGGCCCTGGGTTCAACACACACACACACACACACACACACACACACACACACACACACACATGCTTATTTTCCCTCCCTTTCTTTCCTCTTCCCCAGTAGCTATGTCACTTGGTGGCCCAGGTGGTCTTGTCATGCAGATGAGGACAGACACAAGGCAGGATTTCGATGGATGCTGAATGGCAAATGT